TGGCACTGTGCCCCCCTCACAGTGCGGAGCTGGCACTGTGCCCCCCTTACAGTGTGGAGCTGGCACTGTGCCCCCTGCAGTGAGGGCTTGCTCAAGTCATTCTGGGCACAATGTGCCCTCAGTTCCTTTCAGAGACAGTGTAAGCTGCCTGGAATCCTGCTGTGTGACTGAGCAAGGATTCACCTGGTTTAGTTGAGTCTGGCCACAGGGCTCAGGGGCAAAAGGGGCAAGGGAGAAGTTTTTCTTTATTCATTCATGGGATGTGGGTATCGTTGGCTGGGCCAGCATTTATTGCCCATCTCTAATTACCCAGAGGTCAATAAGAGTCAACCACATTGCTGTGGGTCTGGAGTCACATGTAGGTCAGACCAGGTAAGGGTGGCAGTTTCCTTCCCTAAAGGACATTAGTGAACCAGATGGGTTTTTCCCAACAATCGACAGTGGATTCATGGTCATCATTAGATTCTTAATTCCAGATATTTTTTATTGAATTCAAATTCCATCATCTGCCGTGGCAGGATTCGAACCTGGGTCCCCGGAACATTATCTGGTCCACAGAGAGGGTTACAATGCCTGCTGGGAGAAGCTGGACAATGGACATTGTCGCAGTAGGATTTGATTTGGTTTGTGACTCAAGCTGATCTTAAATAGAACCTGCTGGACTCAGTGCATTTGTAAAAGGAGCTCTGTGCTACTGTTTCAGCTCCTACCGGAGGCTGGGGAAATATTTTGGAGGCCAGGATACTGGTCAGTGTCAGGAAAACATAGCCACTCACAGTTCCAACTACACTCCAAGCTGATTAATAAGCTTTACAGAAAGGGACAGAGTCGGGAGAGGGAGATCAGACTGAGAAACTATAATTCCACATGTGACTGACTCAGCTCCACTCATCTCAACTCTCCCTCACAGTAACGTCCATTCTCCTCCCAGGACAGGTTCCATTTCGACTGTTCGAGTTGCTGCAGCTGTAACACACATGAGCTTTCAGGGAGCTAAAAATCATAAGGTCACTGAATCACTCCGGGGTCAGACTGAGGGTCACTCCGGCCTCGGTCAGACTGAGGGTCACTCCGGCCTCGGTCAGACTGAGGGTCACTC